TACGCTAGTCATGTGAATTGACAATTATGACTTTACTTTAAAACGGTATCATAAATTATTATTATCTAAAGATTATTGTTACATTGAAGCAATTATAGTAATTTTTAACATGTGTTATTGCAATTAATATTTTTCAATACCTAATTGTGTTATCAACATTTAATTATAAATTATATTACTAATATAATATTAGTATAAAACAAAGCTATTTCCACATACTGTTTAATTACTAAATTAACAATTTTAGTATAAATATAATTATTTAGTATAAGTATGAATTATAAATAACTAATTATTCATATTAAAAAGTATTTATACATGAAGCTATATAATATGAACACTTCAATGAAATTATTATTATTTTAAATGAATAAAACCTGTAATTTTATGACTTTAATATTTTGTATTTTATGATTTAAAATGTCCATGCGAGATTTTATTCAAATACCTTTAATTCAAATAAGTTAAAATACAAATAATTTCCATTGAAGTGCTGAAAACAGGCTAAATATTTACAGTTTTTATTTAAAATTTTCTTTTTATAGCCATGCGTCAAAACATATTTTTTTGCGGTTCTTAAATCATTTGATTTAAAAAATAAACTAATCTAGGCCATATTTTTAAAATCGTCGGAACACCTGAAAACATTTATGTTTTTACACATTAAAAGAAAATATTAGATTTTTGATAAATACAGTACAACCTCGGTAAGTGTTTTTATCATAACATTTGACTCATAAATGACCTCAATATCAGAGGTCACAACACAATAATTTTCAATTTAGATGAGATTGTAAAATTTTCATTAAAAATAAAAATCATCTTGGTAGTTTAAGCCTAATCTAACTAATGTCATCAATGACTGTATATAATGTATATATTTTCTATGAATATGTTTTAACCCTTTAGTAGTAACTAATCTACATATAAGGGAAAATAATTATGATGTGGTGTACGTTATATATGAGTAGTTGCAAGCTGAGTTTTTAAAGAAGAATTCATAAAAGTAATATTCATATTGTATTGCCTCACATTATTAAGTCATAATATTAACAAAAATTCATTATATTTATTTTAAATTTAGCTTCATAGGCTTATTTTAAAAGGTTTATTATAAATATTATATTACAATTCTATACTCTAATTTCAATTTATAGTTTTGCGCTTACAATGCGTTAACGAGAAGTGTTAATTTATAATACAATTAAAACCGATTGAATTATACTCGTATGTTACGGTATAACAATAATATCCAGGTCCGGTAATCTAGCGGAATGTCTTAGGTGTCCAAATCGGTGGTTATATCGATCGCGCGCTATAAAAACTCCGTACAATTTTGCTATAAAAGCGAGTCAGAGTTGCAAATACTATGAATGAGTATATTTCACAGCAAAATTGTACGGAGTTTTTATAGCGCGCGACCGATATAACCACCGATTTGGACACCTAAGACATTCCGCTAGATTACCGGACCTGGATATTATTGTTATACCATAACATACGAGTATAATTCAATCGGCTTTAATTGTATTATAAATTAACACTTCTCGTTAACGCATTGTTAGTATATAAATATTTTCAACCAAATTATATAATACTTATATTATTTACATAATACGTTAAAACAATTGTGAAACCAGGTAACCCGGTAGGATTTAAGAATTAACATTACCTTCATATGAAATGATTATAGAATTATATAATATTTTACATTTAAATTTACAAATTTACATTGTATTATTTTATAATGCATTTAAATGAAATATAAATACTTAACTAAATGTTTATGATTAAATGAATAAACCCTGCCCTGGTTTAAATTATTTTACATACAATTATATCAATTTACAAACTATTTAATATCGTATTTATACAATGCAATATACAGTATTATACTATCCTATGTTTATTGGATTTTATTTTTTATAAATATTGTACAGTAGACGTGCTAATTCAATTTGATCAATTATGTAGCTTTGTTTTAATTAGTATTTTTTGTTTTAATTAAAGTATTTTTATTATACTATCCTATGTTTATTGGATTTTATTTTTTATAAATATTGTACAGTAGACATGCTAATTCAATTTGATCAATTATGTAGCTTTGTTTTAATTAGTATTTTTTGTTTTAATTAAAGTATTTATTATAATTAAATAAAACTATACAGTAATGTATAAAACATTTGTTTATTCATGTGGTTTAATCATTTAATTAACGTTTTACATTCATCAGGGAAAGTAATGAATTTGTGTGTAATAATCATTAATCCAATCTTTAATAATGATAATCTCCTGTTTTCGCACATTTATGAGCTCTTGTGTGTCGTTAACACCGGTAGCCCTGAGGTCCTCGTGATGGCAGCCGTGGCTTATTTTAAAGGCCACCACAGTATCCGACAGCGACTCCAATACTCCGCCGGCACTCCACGGGTCGCGCAAACCGTTACTGAATATGATGTTTGAGCCGCTCTTTACACTCTTTTCCTCGTAAAGAGTAAGCAGTTTGTGGGGGTCAGGCCTTACACCCCAGTCCTTATAGCACTGGTCCGACATTGCCTTGAAGTCAAAGGGCGAGGGCTCAAACATATCTGTCTTTCCATTTGTACAGAAGGGAAGTACTATTTCGGTGCACGACTGCAATCATATTTTACACCCCAGTCCTTATAGCACTGGTCCGACATTGCCTTGAAGTCAAAGGGCGAGGGCTCAAACATATCTGTCTTTCCATTTGTACAGAAGGGAAGTACTATTTCTGTGCACGACTGCAATCATATTCATTAAAAGTTTATAAATTTTAGTTCATTTTAATTAAAGATAATATATTTGCAAAATAAATATTCATGCAATTGTATGAACACACCTGAAACCCCCAGGATAAGTCATCCACAAACCCAGTGGAAGGTTTTAAATCTGAGCATTTCATATGACCAGTGTAGTTATAATAAACATTAGCCGCCGCTTGCATTTGCTGTACCAATCCCTTGTCATCGGCGCCGGGATTTGTCAGGTGTTTACACATCTCGCGCATGGGATACGCGGGTAAGTCAGCCAAAAATGTGGCCGCATTTGGGTAGTCAACCATCGCTGTGTTGCCAAATGCGTTGTTTATCCAGTTGGCTATGAGAGCACCCTGACCCTTTTCTAATGGTTTGCACAGATTAAATGTTGTAGTGAGCCAATTGCGACCGTCAACTGTGCTGGCTATTCGGTCAAACACCGGCCAAGAATTTTGTATAGTTTGCGAACAGTTTGCAGAATATTGTGTGAAGTCTTTAGTTTCAACGGAAGCGAATCCGTCGCAGTCTTTATAAATACCCTGAACTCCATATATGGGAGCACTGGCTGCCAGAGCACCTACACTCAGACTCGGGTATTTGAGTCTGAATGCCGCGGCAAGCATTCCGCCATAACTGCCCCCAAACACAACGACTGGACTTTTAGCGGCGCCGGGATATGTCTCCTTGATATGTGTTATAAAGTCCGCGAAATCAGCCAGGGCCTATTTAGTTTGAATATTAATTATTAATGACACGATTATATAGTTTTAAATACAATATACCTGATCAACCGATAGGTAACCAAGTTTGGTTAGGTTTGTATCAAACTTGCCAAACGGTATAGACTCGCCGTAATACCGGTGCTCCAGAAACAGATTCATAGCCCGAAACTGTTGTGCATTTTCCCACATAAATCCGGTGTTGTTGGCGAACATGAATATATCGCCCTCATTGCCCGTATAGTAAAATATGGGACAACCATCACACCAGTGGTCCGTCGATATAATGTAGCGCTGTTTGAATCGGTTGTCGTTTATGTAATTGAAATGATCGATGAGTTGCGAGTAGTAGTCAACGGAAAAATTAGCCGGAATTGGGGTATCATTTGATTCAACAGTTGTACGTTTGAACAAATGTCTGGACACAGAATATTCAGTGAACAATATTAGTATAATAAATGAAATTAAGTATTTCATTGTTTTGGTTTTCACTATTAATATTTACAATGAAATATTAGACACTATTAATTTTGTTGCTAATATCTGTTGAATTATTTGAAAAATATAATTGAACTTCAATATTTATATGAAATGATATTTACTAGTATAATTTATAAATAATATAATCTGTAAATAAATAGATAACTTTTTATCAGTAAATGTGCTAATATCTGTTGAATTATTTGAAAAATATAATTGAACTTCAATATTTATATGAAATGATATTTACTAGTATAATTTATAAATAATATAATCTGTAAATAAATAGATAACTTTTTATCAGTAAATGTCATTGAAATGGTTTTAAAGCAATTCATATATTAAAATGCTTAATTCAATGTACTGTAATGTAAAGTTACTGTAACCAATTAAGGTAATTATTTTAGGTACTGTACGGTTAATCTGATCTAGTACAGCTGGTTAATCTATTCATTGGATTATAATTATCTGAAGTGAAAATATGGTATTTCAAAATTAACATTAGGCATTGTTCACATATTACGTTTTTTCATTTATGCCTCCAATTTGTTTAATTGTTTGCCAAAAATATAAGATCTATAACTAATTATAATCTGTTTGTTAAAGAAATTAAGCTGTTTTTATAATACATTTGTATTCATTTAAGAGTACTTCATAAATAAAATTCCATTATTATTATTATTATTATAAAGATTTTATTAAATTATATATTATTATATAAACATAAACTACAGGGATTTATTAATATTTATTTTAAAATATTATAAATGTGTTATAGTTAATTTAATATTTTAATTTTTAATTAATGTTTTAAAAATCAGTTCATTTTTAATCAATATTCAGGCAAATAATCCTGATAAAATGTATGTTATTTGAGAATTGCCTCAAGTTTGTTCATAACTTCAATGGTCAATAATTTACGAGTAGTTTGTGTGCTCACACTTTCCACCTGAACACTGGAATTTTCATCCTGATAACATAATTAAAATATTTAGAATAAATTAACAAATACTAAATAAACTGTTTTGCGTACCGACGATCCGGGTAGAAAATACAAATCACACGATTTTTCAATAATCACATCAACGTCATCAACTGAATCATGTTTGACGGGTTTGATCATGATCAATTTGCCCGTCTTTTTCGCCCATTTCTTTGCGATCGCGAGTTTCAGTCGATTTGAAAACTTCTTGCGTTTATTGAGTCTATACTCCGATAGCATACGAATCCGGGCTATCATTATGTAATCGAGTTTCAGTCGATTTGAAAACTTCTTGCGTTTATTGAGTCTATACTCCGATAGCATACGAATCCGGGCTATCATTATGTGAAATATTTCCTCCATATCTGTGGCCACCAGTCCTTTGCCGGCGAAGTCCGCGATCTCGTTGGCTATCAACCTAACTCTCGCTTTTGTATCAGGCTCCTTTTTAATCTCACGCAAAACTTTATCTTTAAAAGCAACCGGTAGTTCGCCGTACATTACAAAAAAAATAAACTCAAAAATTAAATCCTCGTTGAGTTGGTCATCGAAATAGCGGACATCTCTTATCAGGTCAATGATCACCGCCTTGTCTGCCATTCCCTTCACCAATACCTTTGGGCAGACATAAGCGGTGTCCAAATAACCGACCACATCGTACTTCCCGTTTGGATCCAGGTTTTTGAGTAATTTGACGTAATATTTAATAATATCTTTGAGCGTGGTAAATTTGCTCACATCGGGGGTCCAATTGAGGCCAATCACCGGTCGGTTTAGCTTATGGGCCAACCCTTCAAACACAGCGAAGTTTAACATAAATGTCGGCAATAGATATACAGGTTTTCCAACGGTTACGCCGTTTAGACGTATGAATATCTCAACGGGTATAATGTATTTTTGTTTGAGTAAGTGGTCCCGGGCAAGTTTCATGTCATCCACGTGCTTTTTTATATTATCCAGTTTACCCGATTGGTATTCCTTTAGCATTCCTATAGTAATACTTTTCACGTGATTGAGACTCATTTTCATATTCCACTCCCTTTCCATCTCCTGCTGTAACTCTACGGCAAACATGGACTCCAACCCAATCTCACCCAGGGTTAGGTTATCGGGGGTATTGTCGGGGTCGATGCCCAGTGCCCGCCATAGCTCACCAATAATACGCTTTTCTCTGTTACCAGACTCTCGTTGTTTGTTGGCTTTTACCTAGTTTATTATTTATATTTTGAAACTATTTTATTAGTACTGTATATGAAATGTAGTGATACTTACAAATGACGTGACAATCGGTGTATTAATTGCCAACAATTTGTCCAAAACATGACAACACGAGTGGATCCGTTGTTTTCTTATTGATGTTAAAGTTATCAACTGATCGGACCCTTCAAACACTCCCACATCACCGATGGGTCCGTACTGTACGGCCAGACCATGCAATCCATCCCTTCGTCTTTGTTCACAAATGCGTTCACACATAGAGTTCCCAAACGAGTAGTTAGTCTGACCTCCATTTCCCTTACCGCAGGCCACCGATGAAAATACAACAAAATAATCCAATTTGTAGTCCAATTTTCGGGTCAATTGATCCAAATTCGTGAATATCTTATGTTTGGTATCAATAGACGAACAAAACTTATCAAATGTGATAATGAAATCCATTGATCCTCGTCTGCAATCACTCCCACATCACCGATGGGTCCGTACTGTACGGCCAGTCCGTGCAAACCATCCCTTTGTCTTTGTTCACAAATGCGTTCACACATAGAGTTTCCGAACGCATAGTTAGTCTGACCTCCATTTCCCTTACCACAAGCCATGGATGAAAATACGACAAAATAATCCAAATTATAGTCCAATTTTCGGGTCAATTGATCCAAATTCGTGAATATCTTATGTTTGGTATCAATAGACGAACAAAACTTATCAAACGTTAACTTCTCTATCAAACAGTCATTCAATTCAAGCGCCAAATGAAATACCCCTCCAATGGGTCCCAACTCTTGAGCCTCTTTTATGAGTTGTTGTGTGCCTTCAATAGTCATACAATTATCCGTTGAGACCACGATATCGGACGCAAAAAATTTTATATCTTTGAAAACTTTATCGAAACGATTGAAAACATATCTCTGATAATCAGTTTTAATGCCTGATCTGGAGGTGACCACAAACTTTCTGGCGCCCAAGTATTGCATCCATGGGATCAGTTCCATACCAAAGCCACCCAAACCTCCAGTTATTATATAGACTTTGTTGGGATTGAAAAATGTCTTAACCGTAACCATCATATCGACGGCCAGTTTAATGGCTTTCAGTGGCTGTCTATCCATCTCTTCGTCTCTCATTTTGATGACTACTTTCCCGATGTGTTTACCGGTTGTCATGAATCGGAACGCCTTCTCGGCCTCCGAGGCATTAAATACCGTATAATTGATTGGTTTTACGCAACCATTCGTACAGTTCTTATGCATCCAATCGTAGAATTCTTGACAAAAATTCATATCTTCTATAAGCTTAACGTCCAGTACTACTGATAGGAACTGTATGTCCCTAACAAAGTCAAACATTCCCAGCTTTTTATTCTGGATCATATCAAAACGTCCCAACTCTACAAATCGACCACAATTTGCCACACATTCATAGCTAGCGTCCAGTTTGTCACCGGACAGGGAGTTCAGTACGATATCAACTCCCCGGCCATTCGTGGCTTCTATGATGCAATTCTTGAAGAGAATATCTCTTGAGTTGAATATCCGGTTCACAGGAATGTTATACTCCTTCACAAGGAATTGCTTTTTCTCTTCCGTCCCAACCGTCACATAGATATCGCACCCGAAGTGTCGGCACATGTTTATTGCCGACTGTCCCACACCACCAGCCGCCGAGTGAATTAAAATGCTTTCACCTAAACATACAAATTAAATGAATTTTAACCAATTTTTAATTCATATAAATTCAAACCTTTCTTAATCTGAGCCTTTTTAATGAGCGCGTAATACAGTGTACTATAAGTGCTGAGTATAGTCACCGCCTCAGCCATAGACCAGTGCTCGGGAATGGGAGTCATGCTATTGATACTGGCGTTCGTTGACGTGGCAAACCCTCGGCCCATATTCATACCCATCACACGTTCCCCGGTATCTACTCTACGGCCAACAAATTCACTGCCAAGCATACAATCAGAGAATAATACTTCTGGCCCTGGTGGTATGCGACCTTAATATTACAATCACTTTTTAATATGTATAATCATAATGATAATGGTAATTTTTAATAATATTACCTGTTGCTATCATAACATCATGGAATGAGATACCGGAGTAATATATGTCCACTTGAGTTGCTTCAATTAATTTATTACTGGTACTAAAACTAACTTGTTCATTGACAACAGGTATTTTCCTGGAGTCATACCATTGCAATCCCAATATATCCCTCTTTTGACCCGTATTCAAGTAATAGTCATTTGAGAGGCATTTGTCGTAATCCGTGGCAAGTCTTAAGTGTCGATAAGTTCCCACTTTTCCCTCTTTCACGACATTCGCCACCAAATCGTTGGCCAATATATCGCTATAAGGACTCACATTGAAGTCTATATCCATTGGACTACCAGTGCTGTCGTAATTGAAAATATATCTCCAGTTCTCTCCTCCCGGTTCTAATCGCAAGCAATTCATGAGACCTATTATGCCATTAATGGACGAGTCGTTAGCTATAAGCCATACGTTATCCGTCTTATTGTCCGCATCCTTAGCGGCAATCATTTTTTGTTGCAATACTTCAAACCATTTCTGATAATCACTTCCCGTTATATTAATTATATTACTTTTATCTGGAATCGGTATATCGTTCATAACTTTTCTAAATAAAAAACATACAGTTCCTATGCCATCACATTTAATGCATATTTGTTTAAACCCAGTTTCATTACAAATTGTATTAAACAGTTTGATACGACTCTCAAGGTATTCATTATTGTGAACAACCTTTCGGTTCAATGAATTCAATGCGATCTCCGGTTCAGTAAACTTATAGCGGAATACCGTTAATAGGAATCCGTTTGATTGGATCGAGTCATACAAGTCCTGCATAAATGTCTGCAAATCTATTGGCCATAAGTCCGGTGTGTCTCTCATTATCACCAAATGTGACGGTTTTAATAATAGGCTTTCCTTTACATCCCAGTCCGTGGCATCGGATCTAAATTCTTCAATCACGTCTTGTTTAGATTTAACTATTAAAGTATAGTCATTAACAGTAGGTATATATCGGAAGTGTGTTATAAACTGATCCACGTCTTTAACCAACAAATTGGCGCTCAAATTAATTTCTGCTATCTTTTTGCCTTTAATGTTAAGAAAGTTTTCGCAAACGATGTCAACAAGAGATCTAATCATTCGCTCATTCTTTGAGATCTGATTTATTAAGTCATTACTTAAATCGTATTCAGGATTCGTTTGTATGTTAAGCAAAATCTTATCCAAAACTTGTTTATCATTAATGTTATTATTCTTATTCACGAATTCTGACAACATTTTATCGAAAACCCGAAACATAACGTGATTTTCATTGTTTGCATTTCTATACTCTTCTATCACTTCGTCGCTAATCGACTGGTAATTGAAATCGCATTTCATTTGTTTGAAACCCATTTGTTTCACTTTAGCGCGGTATCGAAACGTTTGGATTATATTCTATTATTAATGTTAATAGTTTATTGAAGTTATATTTAATATTAAATATTTGGAGATATATAACATTCCAAAAGAGTCGGTGTCCGAATAGCTATCGTACACTGTCATCATTGGGACAAAACTCATAGGAATCCAACACTAAGTCTGTCGTATCCACGCGCCTAGTGATGAGCACCGGTATGGACTCCCCAATCTCTACCCCGTGACCAACCACTTGCTTAGTACGGCCATTAAAATATATAGGCATATTGGCCTTATGGCTCGGGAAACGCTCCCTAAATGCATACCCTGTCATCTCACCAAGCTCACCAGTCTCATTAATTAACCCATTGGTCAATTTATCGACATTTTGATGCATTGTATCAGGCGCATTTATTTCTACTTCGGCACTTTCACGGTCATCACCACTACTACATCTAGTATCTGGTGCTGCCTCTGAAACCGGGTTACGTTTGATAGCGTCAAACAGCACCAGGGGGTCGATACGTATTTCGCGTAGCATAACAGGTACCATTAATTTACGGAAAGGTAGCGTCAATATTGCCAATTGGGTTATAGCGTCCAAATACGTGACAATATTTCCCGTCCACTCGTTAATGGCATACATCTCTTGGAAGTCATTTGTGCCGACTTTGAGCAGACGTCGAAACTCCGGGCCGTAATCATAGCCCATAATACGTAACTCCTTATAGATGTCATCCCTTTCCAGTTTGTACTCACATAACGATAACTTGTTCTCATTTTCATAGATTTTGTGTTGAGCTACCAGTACGTCATCGCCAGGTGCTCGGATTTCGCCCACACAACATAGGTTCTCGTTTTCGTATATTGAAAATTCATCTAGGTTTTTGACACGAAAACATTTTAATTAAATTAATATTACACGTTACCAAGTTGCATGTTATAATGATATATAGTGATTTCGCCCACACAACACAGGTTCTCGTTTTCGTATATTGAAAATTCATCTAGGTTTTTGACACGAAAACATTTTAATTAAATTAATATTACACGTTACCAAGTTGCATGTTATAATGATATATAGTATATACCTGTTAACGGGTAGTATTTGACTTTTAGTTTTGTGTCTTTTGAATCCGACATATGGACAGCCCGTCTGAGTTGGATGTGCTTGAAAATCACGGGTACTTTATACCAGACCTTGCCTAAAGTGGAGGCCAATTTGCGCCAGGCCAATATCAAATACCCCTGCCCTGGGAATATAGGATTACCATCGACACAGTGGTCCAGATAAAAAAGGTCACTTTTAGATAAACAGTTTATTATTGTATTCATATCCGAGGCGTTGGCTCTGCAAAAGCGTTCAGGGTATATTTTCTTGGTTAACTCCACGCTGTGATCCCATTTCATTAGCGACCCGATAGAGGGCGTACCCCTCGGCACCGGCCACTCGACTCGTGGGTAGAGTTTATCGATCGACAGATTGTAACCCAATTCGTAAAGTGTTGCCAATCCGGACAAAAACATATCCAGATTTGTATTGGTCACTTTTAGATAAACAGTTTATTATTGTATTCATATCGGAGGCGTTGGCTCTGCAAAAGCGTTCAGGGTATATTTTCTTAGAAAACTGCACGTTATGATCCCATTTTATTAGCGACCCAATAGACGGCGTACCCCTCGGCACCGGCCACTCGACTCGTGGGTAGAGTTTATCGATCGACAGATTGTAACCCAATTCGTAAAGTGTTGCGAATCCGGACAAAAACATATCCAGATTTGTATCGTTTGAGTCCTTTTTAATGAGCGATACGTAAGAAGATTTGCCGAGTGTTTCGGTGACCGCACTCTTGAACACTGAATGCGGACCTAATTCAAGGACTACGGCATCTTTGGGCAGTTCGAGTAGTTTTTCATAGAAATTAACCGGATTTAGGAGATTGTATGTAAAATACTCGGCTGAAGCATATTTCAAATTTTCGTCTTTTGTTTCAATAATCACTGAAGTGGACAACCATTTCTTTGATCTGAGTTTAGGGTTTGGTATGTATTTCTTGATGGCGTCAGTCATAGGCTGTGCACTGGATATGAGATATTGTGAATGATATGGGATTTCACTGCTCTGTAGTTGTCTCACAAATACTGCCTTTTCTT